CCCAGTTCCAAATGCAGCCCCTTTCCCCCAACCCTCCTCTCTATCCCCAAGGCGCAAAGACTCACCTCGCATGATGGAAGTCCACGACGGTAACCAGCGGCACAAAGCCACTCCCGTTCCGATTTCCTTTCGCATTCGTGGCTGGAGTCGCGGATATCGGTATCAGCTCCAACACAGGGACCGGAGCAGTGTCGAGGTCGATTCTCTCCATCTCATCTTCATCCTTGCCCAACTCGCTCATCTCGGGATCTGCCTCCATTCCCACTCCAGAGGAATCCTCCTCTGCAGTCCCAGCCTTCAGTCGCCTCGCCCAACTGTCCCTCTGCCTGCCGTATCCCAATAGCTCGCTCTCTTTCCTTCACTGGTCCTGTGTCTCGTTCTCGTTCTCTGTCTCGGTCTCGGTCTCTGACTCGGTCTTCGCGCCCCCCTTCTAAAACATGCTGCTGCTGCCCGTCTGGCTCGGCGGATGACACGATGCAATGCAATGCAATTGTCCGTCGCTTAGTCTGCCGAGTCCCGAGTCGCGATTCCTGTCCCTCAAAAAAAACCTCGGAGGCGGCTTTCTGTTCTGTCTCTCTTTTTTATCGTGCTGTGGTTCCGGGGGTCTATCCCATCCCATCCTATTACCCGATCCTGTCTCGTCCCGTCCTGTTCTGATTGATTTTCGCACTGGCAAGTTCGCTGAGGCTTCGATTTTTTTCTCCCCCTTTCCTTACGTCACAGACGTGAAGAAGTTAAACAAGCCGCGCTTGTTCTCTCTTTTCCCCGTGCCGTCGTTTGTGGTCGTCGCCCTCTTGAATGTAATGAACAAGTCACCTCCTAGAATAATAAAAATAATGCACCTCCCCGAGTCCTGGGCTTGGCTTGGCTTGGCTGGGGCTCGTTTGATTCAGACTACCACTAGTACAATGCATTATATCAACAGCAAGACCGCACTCCATATAAATGTCGCAATGGACTTTATTCCGTACTTATACGTATCATTCAAAGCTAACAGCGAAGCGGAAAAAAAAAGGAGAAAAAAAAGTAAAATTAAATTGATGAGAAAAAGTCACCGCCACCTCGCGTCAACGTCCCTTGTTGCTTGCGAGCTACCGGACTTGCTCTACCGTACGAAATGCAAATGCAAACGCCGTTGCCATGCAATGCAAGGCCAGCGAGCAGACTGATAGCGGTATACCGTATACCAACTGATACCAATAGCCGACTTTCCAGCCCCAATCAGCGTGGCTACGTGCGTGAGCCGTGCCCGGATGTGCTGTACAGAGGTACAGCGGCACCACTGTACCTCTGTAGTGCAGACCTGAGTTGTATGGTTTTCCTTGTCAGGAGACACTATTCGTCCTCCGAGTCCCGGTAGAGTCAGACCATCATCCTCTGATGATTCGATTGTCGAGTCTTCACTTCATTCCTCTCTTCCCTCCACTGGCCAGACAGACCACGTATGTCTGCGCTGCTCTCGTAAGGGGTACACCTCCAATCATAGATACGATGGTCATGCCATCATCAAATTCGTTTCTAATACAGCCATAGCCATTTAGCGGCCCTCGCATAAGAAAGGAGAAGCGGAGTCAAAAACAAGAAGCCTTTCTTTGCTGCCCACTATTCCATGCACTTGAGTGGCAAACGCCTTTCGGAAAGAAGAAAAGCGCGAGGAAGCAACACACAAGCAAGAGCCAGTCCCGTTCCAGCTTCCCCAACCCCCAGATACCCACATCCACGATCGAGAGTTCGCGAAAAAGAGGGAGATTCCGCGGCTGCCCCTCACGAACGTCTTCTGGTTCCCTTATGACCGGTATCATATGTTTATTCCATACAAAATGGCTTGGCGCGCTCTCAAAAACGGCATCTCAATCATATTGCGCTCCCCTTTTTTTTTCCATCCGATTCTCTCCAATAAAATTCTACTTTCCTCCGTGCATGTGCTCGAAAGTCTGTCCGTCGCCACCGTTCTCGACATTATGGTATTCGAGAATCTCGGAGTACCTGCAAGAAGACGAGAACAGTCAGTCACGCTCTTGTTACCCCAATATCATGAGGTAGCGTGGTTGAAACACACATTCCATCAGGATTCTACCGAGTTGTTTTCATAAAGTTGTTCGTACATCATGATTTTCCACGTGTCCACCGGGAGATCAGCATCATTGAACGACCAGTCAAACTTATCATCGGCGACAGGCTCATCCGTGGGGTCATGGTAGGGAGCCAGGTACTCGTGGGCGAGGGCTTCCGATGCCTTGACTCGCTTCCGGGGGTCGAAGACGAGCATTTCCTCGAGGAGGTCGATTGCTGGGAGCTATCAGTATTATCCGTAACAAGTAGCGCGGGACACCTACCTAGGGGATCCGCATTTCTGAACTTGTCCTTCAATGGTTGTCTCTCACGCTTTGGGAGCGACTGAACGAATCTCAGGGTCTATAAAATTGTTAGACCGCTTCAAAACAGTATACAGTGCCAGCCCTTACGTTCTCACTCGCAATGGTGTGAATAACATCATCCGGGGGTGTTCCCAACAGCTCAGTGATGATCGAGAACTGGTTGACGTGATCCTTTCCGGGGAACAGCGGCTTGCCCTCCAGCATCTCTGCGAAGATACACCCGGCGCTCCAGATATCAACCTCGACATCATACTTTTGCCATGTGAGCATGATCTCTGGCGCTCTGTAGTATCGCGTGGAGACGTAGCCGGTCATCTGGGGGTCTTGGATACGGGCCAGGCCGAAGTCGCAGATCTTGAGGTCACAATTCTCGTTGACGAGGATGTTGCTGGGCTTGAGATCGCGGTGGACGACACCTGCCGAGTGGACATACTTGAGACCGCGCTATTTACGATGTTGTCAGCCAGCCCGCTGCATACCAAAGCCCCTCAAAATATTCCGGAGGTATTTACCAAGATCTGGTAGAGGAAATATTGTATAAACTGCTTCTCGAGCGGTCGGGAGGTGAGCAGCCGATGCAAATCGGTGCCTAAGAGCTCGGTGACGAAGTAGCTGCAGAGGATGTTAGCAGTCGTAGAAAAAAGCGGGGAGAGCGCGCAGCCGTACATGTCCTCGAGGGGCGAGATGAAGATATCGCTGAGGGAGATGACCTGGGATGGCATTAGCAGCGGAATAGCAGCGGGAGCAGGCCATGTTCGCACATTCTCATGCTTGAGATGCTTCAGCAGCTTCAGCTCCCGGTATGTTCTCTTGGACAAGACTGGAGTGCTGAAGGGCTTCATGATCTTCTTAACCGCGACATTATGGCCGGTAAGTTGATCTTTGGCAGAGCTGCGGGGTATTGTTAGCTGTTGATCGAACCTTGATCGCAGACACCGGTATCGTACCAGACCAGACCGAAGGCCCCCATTCCTACAGGTTGCAGGTCGGAATATCTATCAGAAGTCAGCGTTCCGTTGGAAAACGGAGTGGCGCACCCCGCGCAGCCGTACCGGGAAGTGATCTCGAAGGTCGTGCCAAAGATCTGGGCCCGAACGAATTCAGCCATGGCGAAACTGGGGTGACGAACAGCGATTTGTGTCGAACTGTTCGTGAAAATCTGGGGAGGGGAGGAGAGGGGAGGGGGTTCACAGGATGTGGTTGTGGTTGTGGATGTGGATGTGGATGTGGTTGTGGAATTTTAGGTGGTCATAGATGAAGACAGCGGGATGTTTTGGTGTCGAGGAAACGGGATGGGATTCTTGGTGTCGAAGGAGGAGAGCACTGAGGAGGGGCGGAGGGGCGGAGGGGCGGGAGGGGGCGGGAGGGGCGTCGTTTAACGCTTTGGTTGGCGGTGGAGCTTCTGTCTAATCGCCTGGCCTACGTAGAGGACAACACAAGAGCGAGGCAAGTCACTGCTATGGGGATGAAGAGGTACCGGTAGCTGAATCGCGGAGTGCTGAGACTGAGCTGGAAAATAAAGAATCCACAATCAATTCGGATTACTGTAAGAAAGACCCAGGAATGAAATGGAATGCCCTCCTCGGCTTCGGCTTCGGCTGGACCTGTATCTGGGCCGGGACCTGGACCTGGACCTGGTTGCAGATGCCAAAGCCGAGTATCCCGTGGCCGTGGGCTTGCCGCCGAATATCGATCGCTCGAGCTCGCTGTATTGGTGAAGGACTAGAGGATGTGTCTCTGGGCGGGTCAGCAGAGGCCCCAAAAGAACCAAGATGGAAGATGTTGCGGAAGAGCTACTACTACAGTAATTCTCGGATGGGCAAAATAAAAAAAACAACAGGGTCCAAGGTCTGTCGATCACTAGCTCCTCTTGCTCTACCGGTACCTACAATCACCTAGTGCATGGAAGTGTGAGGTTGGATTTAAGTTTGATTTCGGTCCTGCTGATCTCTTCTTGATTTTGAGAGGAAGAGAATGAAAGCGCAGATCAGAGTTCCCAAGATGTAACTACTACGAAGTACTACTAGTACTACTACAACTATTACAACCACCACCACCACCCCCTTACCAATCGTTATATGTTTTATTGTCCCCGATCTCAGCGATACCGGTATATTATAGCCTTACCATCTATCTAAGTAAGGGAGGCAGGCACCTTCACCATGTCTCAGATAAAGCTGCGCACAGAGGATGTCTTGTTACTCTAGTAACTCTACGGAGCGCGGCGACCAGACATGTACCCACGTCACTGATCGCATTCGAGATGGATCGGAAGAACGCCAACATCTCAGCTCCAAGACCAAGCTCTTCCTGCATGTGTGCGAGACAATGTCATACTCTGCACTGTCGCTGCATAAACACAACGCCATATCGATTGATGTCTCGGCATCATAGCCCGTATAGGGAAATGTTCATCATCGCCTTGAGGCTTGCGCCTTGCGAGGACCTCAGCCAGCAAGCGATCTCCATAACTTAGACTTTCTGCCCTGCCGGTCTCTGCCCTGCCGATTTCCGATGACCCACACGTACCACCCCACCCGACTCTTCAGATCCGATAGGGAAGAGAAAAGAGAAAAGAGAGAGAAAAGGAAGACAACAAAATACACCCCTACGTGGTATATTACCTCCCTAGCTTTCTCACTACCTTATATGGAGCAATATGTAACGCTTGACAAATATTTCACAACCACGACCCGTTACCACATCAGGCCAACAGTAGTTAGGTAACACAATAACAACCTTCCAGAGCACAAAAATTGCATCGTACCGATAGGTCTGCAGCTTGTCTTTCCTGTTCCGCGACTTTCTCACAAGCAAGCAAGCAAGCAAGCAAGCAAAGCCTGGACTCTTCCATTATCCTATCCAACAAGAAAGAGAGAACAGCCGTGCGCGTCATCGTTATACCTTTCCTACCTTGCCGCTTACCTCTCACATTTCTATCCATCGCTATACCGGTACTTATATATCCCCGCGGTCATTCCCCGCGGTCATGGCTGGCTGGTGGCGAATCAATCACAAATCATCAAATGATAGCTGAGCGAGCATTAGTAATAAGTAGAAGCCGCAAAGTCGACTCTTTCTTGTCTTTTTCTTGGTACGGTTTCCGCTACCGGTACACAGGCATCGCATACGATACCGGTAGAAGCTTGCAACAGGCGGACGAAATGCTCCGCCCGACTCAAGATTCACGTGTGAGGAGGAAGTGCGGCGCGCCAGCCAGGATGGACGAAGCTTATCGGTCAACTTGTATCACAGGTGAAAATAGGTATGGTACGTCTGTGATCCGTATGCAAGATGCACACACAGTCGGGATATAAATCTGAAAATGAGAGGGAAATAAGCGAATCTGTGCACGTCTCTCTGCCTCCGACAGCGGACAAGCGGCCTAGAGTCCTTGGGAAAAAAAACCTGCATGACACTCCTACCTGGGGAAAATTTCTCCTATCGAATTCCCTAACGAAATAAACATATTGTCAAAAACGAAAGTCCAAGCCTCTGCTTGGGGACATGAACTAAGAGAAGACCTCTTGTATCCTCTCTGACGGGGAGTCGAACCCCGATCTCCCGCGACTTGCACATGGTGACAAGCGGAAATCATGACCGTTAGACCATCAAAGATGCTTTCATATATGATACCGATGATGACACTGTCGTGTACTAAGTACAGTTCAAATTTGATCCATTCTGTCGCAGCTTACTCCAATGTTCCTGGCTTCTGGGATCCGAGCCCAGTGTACCGTTCCTCACTGGAGCCTACCCTACCTATTGAACACCAAAAATAATTCCCAACCCAGTGTTCTCTCTCTCAGACATATATACTCATATTTTCTTGGCTGGCTCACCCATGGGCTCTACGTCATTGGCTTTGGATCTTCATCGGTTGGGTGGGGCCGTGTTCCGCTTGATCTGGGATGCATAAGTAACACGTGATACCGTGTACCATTTCTTCCGAGCCTTCTCCCCAGAACTCAATAGCTTGCTTGACGTGCGTGCCATGCCAGAGCATGTACCGGACGCGATTTCATGCCCATCCTAGCAGATCACCGACGCCGCCTGCCTCGCTTGGGAGCGATCGATGCAGACATGGAACCTCGCCGCGAGAGATTAGCGTTCCTGGAACCCGAAGTCATATGGAAATATGCTCCGGTCGTCTACCTATTATTGTCGTTACGAGTGGTGCGCGCTTCTTCCCCCCAAAAGTTGCGACGTCGAGTCCCACTATTATGAGGGTTTCAAATCTAGATCCCCATGCTACACCACATTCGATACATACCTATGCATATATATATATATATATATATATCCAAAGGGTCGCCCAAATCCTCAGCCTTGCCAAAATGCAAAGTACTTCTTCGTACTATCAGTTCTGAATTTAGAGCCTTCGCTGCGATTACCTACTACCGGTACCTAGTCGTTGAAGTGGATCTAAATCCGCCTCACTTGGCATGTTGTTATACGGTACCGGTACTAGGTAGTAGCTTCTACAGATCCAGACAATACGAGGAGGATTCCATTCGATTCGGGCCGCACACTTTCGGATTTTCCTCCCTGGACCGGGCCTGGTCTCAGTACCTATAACAAGGTTTCATATCGAAAATAGATACCAGATCCGATATCTAGTCATGGTGAGGATTGGCGTCTTCCGCACGTGTGAGGCCCCGTCTTTTTCCGGAGTAGGACCAAATCTAACGACTATTCGTGTCTGTCGGTACGACAGAATTGGCAAGGTGGAGCTCTGCCGAGTGTGGTATCCGCTACACCAGATTGAAACCGCGCGACTTCCAATCACCAGCAGCTGTCATTTTCTGATAAGACAGACAGAAAGCAAATTGTAGCCTCGGAGACGAAGGAGCATGAGAACCTCCGCGCTCATTATGTTCACGTCAGTCAAAAAAATATGGAAGAGCACTCACTAGGCAGCGAACTTTCTTCTCCCTCTAAGATAGCAAGCAGCGCAGATTGAATTTGATATCTGTGATCTATCGAAAAATTGCTCTATCTGGCTATAGTCAAATAGCAAGTAGCAATATGACCGTGAGACTACTCAAAAATTGAAGAAGAAAACTCGTCTGATACAGAACCTGGGATGCTAGTCGGTGTTAAGTAGCTACCGGTAGATTTATCATATTGCGAGTGTTCATATCCGGCTGAGATTTACGCTTCTGAGTTTAGAGCTGGACTGCTGGCTGTGTGATAGGCATATTATTGTTCTTACAGCAGAGCGGAACTGCATTCTCTTGCAGCTTAAGCTCGTTTGGATTACACCGCTTTAGTAAAGTAAAGGAATGGGTAAAGTACATGTGATGATTGAGGCATTCCCTATTCCTCGGTCGGGTTTGGGTATTCGGTAAATATTCCAGACTATCTGCACCACTGCACTCGACCAAAGCCGCACGCCAGCCAATAACGCCGTTACCAACACGACGAACACAAGCAACAAACATCTATTCTTCCTCAACCTCGATATCCACATCCTTTCTTTTCTTCTTCTTCTTTTTATCCTTCTTGACTTCCCCATCTTCCCCCTCCTCCCTGTCCCGTTTTCTCTTCTTCTTCTCTTTTTTCTCGCAATCCTCCTTCGGCGCCTTGAACTCCTTCTCCCTTTCTTTCAACTTCTCAGCTTTCTTCTCTTTCTGCTTCTCCATCCGTTCCTCTCTCTGTGCCCTCTCCCTGGCCATCTTGCCCATAAAGTACTCTCCACTCTCAAGCTGCTTATCAATCTTGCTCTCCTCCTGCTTAGGTGGAAACGGCGTGTACACCTTCTTGCTCTTATCCGTAACCTTAAGCGGCACCCGTCTCTTACTCAAATTGCGCTTTTTGAAATGCGGTAGGAAGCGGTCCCAGGATTCGCCAGCCAGTTCAGGATCCTTGGCAAGCTCACGCTTGATCATGAGCTCCTTGATGTGGTAGATCGGGTGGATGTTATTCATACAGTCCTCGATAATGCGGCGCACCTCCTTCAATCCCTTATACGGTCCCATGGCGGCCACTGTGTTCCCCTGCACCAGCAGATAGCATTCCGTGAGGAGCTCCAACGCCTTCAGGGTGCTGCCGTTCGGGCCCAGGATGCGCTGTCTCCGCTTGACGAACTTCTCTTTATTGCGCACCAGGTTCCGGATCTTGATTATGTCGCACGCCATGCCGTCTTCTAATATTTTGACAGCTTGGGGAGCGGGTACACTACGTGCGAGCAGCTTGATCAAGTCGCGCGCATTGAGGACGGCGGCGGGATCGAAGGTTTTTCGTGTGGTCTTAACCGTCATGGATCCCTCTACCAAGTCGAGTGAGCATGCGATGCCGTACTTCTCGAGGGAACGCGTGATGAGTGGCCATGCTTCACGAAGGTAGATTTCGCGGTATTTGGGGAAGAGGGTGGCAAAAGAGGATTCTTCTGCGAAGGTACCGCCGGCATTATCGTCGGGTTTGAATTCTTCTATCTGGGGAAGGGTTAGCAGGAAGGAAGGAGCTACGATCGGGTCATGGCTTATCACCTTCCATTTGTCGATATCGTCGGTATCCCACGGCTTTTCCTTCTTATGTGTGGACGGCATGCTGAAGTTGTGGTGGGGTTGCGCGAGCTTGGAGCTTGAGGTCCAAAAAAAGTTTCGGCTTGAAGAAATTCAAGATGGTGTCGTTAGAATTCGGCGGACGGGGCTCGGGGTCTCTATTTTTCCATACTCCGATGTCACGCTACTCCCTCCGAGTCTCCGATTTCCCCCTTTTTGTGGCATCAACTCAATTTAGCCGCCCTCGTGGGCTTTTTTTACATTTATAGCTCAGAAGAAACGCCTGTCCAGTCTGTACTCTTTTGAGGGTGCTGATACGCCAGAATCCCCGCGCCCCTCGTATGACAATCTACCTCAGATCTCAGGGGCACTGTAAGACAGGCACCTGGCCACAAACAACAAACACTCCCAGGGCGCGACGTGGCTTCACGATTCTTGCGCAACTTTCAGCCCTGCCCTTGGCATTTCGATTGTTTATCGCGAGAGTGTGCGAGTGCCGAGTCGTGAATCGTGATTTGCTCCAGCGTCCAGGTTCATTGCTGCCCTTGTTCTGTCTGGCCCTTGCGAAAAAAAGATTCTCCCTGCGCGGATCCTCGGATCTAGTCCCCGTTCTCGAAAAGATCAAAGCGCGATTCTTTTTATGAATATGAGCAAACATGCACGCAGAGATCTTTCACAGCTGGAGTCGCTCCCCTTTTCAAACTTGGGAAAGTCACCAGAAGCTCTAAGAACATGTAGGAAGCCATACCAGGCAACTGACACACACCTATCTCAAAACGATGTAATAATGTGAGAGAGAGAGAGAGGGAGGGAGAGAGAGAGAAGGAAAGAACTTCAGTCCTCCTTATCCTGGAAACACAAATTTGTGAAGCCGTCGGATTCGCACGTTAGGGGTAGCTGGGGACGATCGGTAAATATCGTGTCCGAGAAGAGATCTAGAGAGATCTCGAGGAAAACAAAGCATGCAGCTGTTCGAGCACAATGTCAAGCTCTAATTGAGGTCATTCAACTTGCATTCTTCATGCGCAGTAATACGCGATTCCTAATTGCCAGCGTACATTGAGCATTCCATTGGCTATCGGCCTATCGCGAAGACTTGTGCAAGGTCGAGCGTGGCTCTTATTATAGATCTGCAATCACTGCTCTATCAAAATAGCGCGCCCCTTATCCGCCCCATGCCAGAGGAGCAAGCAAGTTTGCAAACTTCTCGTCTGCATTCTTTCACCTCTGGGATTGTCTCGTCTTACAAGTCCTCTTGATGGCATTGTAATATCCGTCTGCTACACTCCCTCCCCTCTTGTATACCCATCAGCCATTCCGATTTTCACGTCGAGTCTGTCCTTCCCACAAGTTAGAAAAGACGAGCCTGCCTCTCTTGGGCCTCTCGAATCGAATAATACCATCTTAACCACACTCCTTTCCAAGGCTAATACCACGATTTCTGTTCCTTCATTCACGACAGATCTTCGCCAAACCGCATATATTACCAGGAACCCTTCACCACGCCCGCTCTTTACAGCTTCTTACGCGTTCCTCTCCGGGACGCGGTCTAATAGGTCTCTTATCCAACCGCAACCACGGCTTCCACTCTCGCTCAGTACCGGGCCTCGCCCATCTTGCATCCATCTTCCAGAGAGCAGGTCCGGGATCTGCCCTCCTTCAATCCGGCGCACATGGCAGACGACGTGCGGCATTCGATGCTTCCCATAGACCCCATCTCGAGGCCATCTTCAACCTCGACCCAGAATTCGTCCCTCCATCACAATGCTTCGTTGCCGCAGCTCCCTGGCCTTTCCGCTCTAGCATCTCTTGCATCTTCGTCCAATACTCCACAACTGAGGTACGTTGGAATGAGCGTTGGGAGAAATGTATTGTCGAACGCAATGGTTGGAAGGCTACATCAAGCTATACTTGGGTTTCGGGGTTTCCTGGTTACAGCCACGTCTCCGCGACTTTCTAGAGTTTAATCCTCGAATCCGGTGGTCGTCTCCAGCTGAGGGCTCGGCTGGTCTGTGGATTGCCTCAATTGGCATTGCCGCTCCAAAGCCATCTATCCCTTGGAAGTCCTGGGAGGCCAGGGAAGAGTATCTTTCCTGCGTTTGGAGGGGTATTACTGCTATTACACTTTCAATATTTTCTGCTCGCAATCTCCCAAACCCCCATTCATAGCATCTTCTTATTTCTTGGACAAGTCGAGCTAACATGGCATGCCAGGGCGTTCAATGCAGGACCAACTGCCATGAGCTATTCAAGTCCATCGGCGACTACGGGCGGTGGTCAAAACAATTCACCGGTATGTTTTCTCCGTATCGTTTTATCGTAGCTTGCAACCCGCATTTATCTCTTTCTTTCGAGTTGTCTGTAACGGCAACTTCTACCTCTGAGCTGGGCTATTTCTTTTTGCCTTTTCACCCTCCCGAGTTCCGCTGCTTTCATCTTTATCGATTAAGTTGCTTTACCCCTATCTCGGGAAAGCGCGAATCGGAAAAGCGGGGCCACCAAAACTCCATTTTTCGCTGCGGCTTATCGACAATCTCTCTCGCACGATAACAAACCCTCATCATCAACCACCACGCCCAACTTTCCCTCCAAACCATCCAGCACTGCGCAGAATGGCTTCCGTGACTATGACTAACGAGAATACCCAGCCTATCTGCGGAAACTGTGCGACTTCGACGACCCCTCTCTGGCGCCGCGACGAGGTCGGATCGGTGCTCTGCAATGCCTGTGGCCTGTTCCTGAAGTTGCATGGACGACCTCGGCCGATAAGCCTCAAGACAGATGTTATCAAAAGTCGCAACCGCGTGAAGAGCTCTGGCTCGACACAGGGTGCGAAGAAGAAGGTGAGTGCTGGGATCTTGAGGTTCCGATGTCTGTGATTCAAACCACTAATACCTCGGTCCAGCCCCCCTTCGATACAACTGGCCTCGAACAGGCGCGATCGCAAGGAGGAACACCACCTCCCGGATCTCTGGGTCATCGGCGCACCTCTCAAAAGTCTGTCAACGGTCACTCCGATGGATCAAACTCCCCAATCTCACGGACCGGCACGCCGTCCATGTACGGTAGCCATCTGCCACCGTTCAATGGCCACTCCCTCGATGACCACTACAACCACCACTCCCCATCTCTCCCACCTATGCACCTCCGCCAACCGTCGCCTGGACGATCCGCCTCCCCGTTGAACAACCACGGCCTCGAGCTACCCCAAACATACGAGCAGCTGATTGCATCAAACTCGTCGCTCAAGACTCGCGTCAGCGAACTTGAAGTCATCAATGAGCTCTTCCGGGGCCGCGTATCGCAACTCGAGCAGGATGAGAACAACGCCAGACGCGGGGAAGAGATGCGCCACAAGTCGGAACAAGACCTTATGCGACGCCTGGAGGAGTCGCAGCGCAGAGAGAATCAGCTGAAGCACCGACTCGATGACGTTGAGGCCCAAATCAGCGAGCTCCGAGACGGCGTTCCACCGGCAAAGAAGATGCGTGTGACAGACATGGTGGGAGGCGCCATGATCGGAGGGGGTGTGGTGAGTGGCAGCATGGCTGGCGGCAGCGGGTCCTCAACACCGCAGTCCCTCATATAACAACAGCCTCCAAACAGTTGAGGTCAGATACTGGGAGTTTGATTCACTGGGCTAAGGTGGGGGCAGGGGTGGCTTCTCTCTTGCTTCTACATGCATGATACCACCAATAACGACTTTCCTATTCTGTTTTCTCCGGGGCTCTTCTCCTATCTGGGAATGGAGACCTCTGCCGGAGTTTCTTCTACCAATGTCAGTATTGTACCATTATCAACACCACCACGCCTGAAGAACGTTTCGAATTTTTCACTTGCACCTAAAATAAAATCATGGCGACGCCCTTGCGTCGGTAAAATTTTGATCTGGCTTCTATCCTGGAGGCGAGAGCAGAGGCAGGGCCGGAGGAGGGGCGGGGGGAAGGGGTCTAATCTGGGAGAAGGTGATTTCCGGACGGAATGTGGGAGAAGCTACGTGTTGATGGATACATGGACGGCATAGGACGGGTGAGAGGATGGGACTAGATGAGATAAACAGGACGGGAAGGGGGGGACTGGTTGGGTGTCACAGGAAAAGAAAAGAAAAGAAAACCACGGAGGAGATGATTTTCCTTCTTCTCTTCTCTCCAGCAAGCTTTTTATTTTGGGCCTACACCATTCCGGAAAAAAAGCAGAAAGACAGGTAGAAAAAAAATTAGAAGTTTTATTGTGGTCTTATCATGAAAGCCAACTACACCAGACCTGGACGAACCAATAGGTAGCCTTCTCCAGTTTGTTTGTTGCTAGCCATTTAATAAGAGGGACACAGTTTTGATCATCCTTTTTTCTCTTTGCTCATTTTAGATTTGGGGGGGGGGGGGTTTGGATTCTTTTCAGGTTTTTTTGTTTCTTTTTTTTTTAAAAGGTGGGGCGAAGGGGCGGAATTAAAAAAAAAAAAAAAAACTCCAAACCCAAACCCAAACCCAAAACCCAAACCAAAAGCGCAAGGAAACAACCACCACCTGCGGACGGAACTGATCTGATCTGACCGCTCCTATTCATTGTCCTATGGTATATCAACTCATCATATCCTATATCATCCTCTCTTATTATACCACCTTAGTTTATTTATCCCATCTCATCATATCATCCCTATCCCATCCCATCTTATCATATCATATCATATCTCATCATCCCAGCCCATCTTATCTTATCCGATGTATACGGATACCTCTCATTTCATTTCATTTCATCTCCTCTCATGTCTTACCTAACCTAACCTATCACCAACGGTACCTACCGTACCTCTCACCACCTCTCTCCCCCTTCATCTCCGCTCCTCTTATCTACACTACACTACACTACACTACACTACACTACACTACACTACCAACCTACACTACCTTATCGATCCTAACCCTCCAGCAGTCCCATATTTTTTTTTTTTTTTCTTTTCCAGGGGTCTGTCTACCCGTACCGTACCGGTACAACTCTTCGATCCCTCCCCTCACGTGAACAGATAGATAGATAGATAGATAGATAGATAGATAGATAGATAGATACGGTAGGTAGATAGGTAGATAAGGATCGTATCATCCATCATATGTTGGTGTCAAGGTGTCAATCGATCCTTTCCTTCCTTCCTTTCATTTCCTTTTTCCTTTTCCTTTTCCTTCTTGTTTTTCCTTTTCCTTTTCCTTTTGCTTTTCCTTCATTCCTCTCCTCTCTCTCTTTCTTTCTTTCTTTCTTTCCTTTCCCTTCCTTTCGCAGAAACACACGAAAAGCGGCCACAATCCAATCCAATCCAATCCAATCCAATCCCTCAACCCGCCCTAGACTACTTAGCCTACCTACCCTAGGACTCTGAACTCCAAAATCTAGTCTAGTCTAGTCTAGTCTAGTAGGTATAACAGGTATTTCAAACGTCGACGTCAATGAAATATACATATATACATACATACATACATATGTAAATAAATAAATCAATAAATAATAGTCAGTGCACTGACTATTACACACGAAAAAAAAAACGAAAAAAAAAAAAAAAAACAATATATATATATATATCTTCAAACTCACTATCCCTTACCGGTATTCAATTAAACGACGACTCGCTGGGCTAGCTGGCTAGGTACCAACTTCTGCCGTGGGATGGGTCGCTTGCTTGCTTGCTTGCTGGTCGGGAGTCGGGAGGAGGGAAGGTTCGTTCGTTCGTTCCTTCGGGGGCACTGTGGAGTAGGTAAGGTAAGGTAAGGTAAGGTAAGGTAAGGTAGGTAGGTAGGTAGGTAGTTAGGTACCTAAGGTGTGGTATGCAGTTAGTACAGTACCTAAGGTGTGGTATGCAGTTAGTTAGTACCTATGCAGTTACAGTAATACCTATGCAGTACCTATGCAGTACCTATGCAGTACCTATGCAGTACCTACCAGTACCTACCAGTACCTATGCAGTACCTATGCAGTACCTACCACTACCTATCACTACCTACCAGTACGTCAGCTGGCCAGGATTGGAGGGACATGATGGAATGCAGCTCGCTTCCATCGGGCTTTCCACTTGACAATCTGCATCTATTCGAGACGTCAAGTATCGTCTCCGAAACTCCATCTCCCATCTTCAAGCACATGTTCTCCTACACATAAAACAAAGGCATGGCCGTAACACGCACTTCATTAACCTCATTGGTAACCTATCTACCCAACCCAGCCCAGCCAACCGAGGTCTCCCTCTATCACAATCTAGACAACTCTAGAGGCCCTCCATCCCCCTCCGCACCATACCCAATCACAGCTCATCCTTTTGCATACCCAAATCAGCAGATTTGCTCGGTGGCAGAGGCTCAATATTCCAGATGCTCTCCGCATACTCGTTGATGCAACGATCACTGCTGAAGAAGCCCATCCGAGCAACACTCGTGATACACTTAGTGAGCCACTCATCCTGGTTCTTGTACGCCTCGTCAACGAGCGCCTGGGTCTGGTTGTAGCTGTGGAAGTCGTCCGACACCAGATAGTAGTCGCCGTGATCTTCAATGGCGCCAACCAGAGCACCAAAGGTGCCGGCGTCGCCAAACATCCCCTTCTTGATCGCCTCGAAGACGCTCTTGAGATCGGGATCCAGATTGTGAGAGCCGTAGTTGTGGGCGTGGCGGAGATCCTCAACATCCTCGGCCAGGTTGCCGAAGAGGAAGATATTGTTCTCGCCAACCTCGCGGGTAATTTCAATCTAAACAGGTCAGCTTTCACCTACGTCACCAGGGGAGGCATATCGTACGTTGGCTCCATCACAGGTACCAATGATCAATCCACCGTTGAGCACAAACTTCATGTTGGACGTTCCAGAGGCCTCGGTTCCGGCAGTCGAGATATGCTCACTGATATCACTGGCAGGGATGATGATCTCGGCCTTGGAAACGTTGTAATCCTCCAAGAAGATGACCTTCAGGAGATCACCAACATCCTTGTCCTTGTTCACCACCGCACCAACGCTGTTGACGAGGTGGATGATAGTCTTGGCCATCCAGTATCCGGGAGCAGCCTTGCCGCCAAAGATGGAGACCCTGGGTGCCAGCTTCTTTCGCTGCTCGGGGGACATGGCTTTGATGGTGAGGTATCTGTGGATGACCCCGAAGATGTTCATCTGTTGACGCTTGTACTCGTGTATTCTCTTCACCTGAATATCGAACAGCGCCGAGGGATTGACAGTAACACCGGTGGTCGTTTGGATGTGCTTCGCGAGCCGGACTTTGTTGGCGTACTTGATCTCAGCCCATTCCTTCTTGAACTCCTTGTCATCAACACACTTCTCGAGTTCGTTGAGGTTGTTGAGATCCTTGAGGAACCCATGGCCTCCGGTCTTGCTCGCAATCAATTCGGAGAGTCTCGGGTTGGCCTGGTGCAGCCAACGTCTGGGCGTGATCCCGTTGGTCACGTTGGTGAACTTGTCAGGTCCAAACACCTTCACAAAGTCCTTGAAGATAGTGGTCTTGATGAGATCCGAGTGAAGCTCAGCCACACCGTTGACCTTGTGGGAGCCAACGATTGCCAGGAAGGCCATGCGAACCATCTTCGGTTGAGATTCCTCGATGATCGATACGCGGGCGAGCAGATCTCTCTCGTTCGGAAATTTACGCTCAACGCTTTGGAGGAAATGCAAATTGATCTCGTAGATGATTTGGAGATGCCTAGGAAGCAAGTTCTGGAAGAGCGGCACAGACCACTTCTCAAGAGCCTCGGGGAGCACGGTATGATTAGTGTAGCCGAACTGGAACGAAGGGTTAGCGAGGATCAGGATCAGGATCAGGTTCAGGTTCAGGGACAGCGGATCCGTAAGCACTTACCGTCTGCGAGACGATGCTCCAGGCTTCGTCCCATTCCAGACCCTCCAGATCCAGGAGAATCCGCTGGAGCTCGACGATGGCAAGCGTTGGGTGGGTATCGTTCAACTGAATAGCGACCTTCTCGGGGAACTCGGTCCATGCACGCTTGGATTTCTTGAAGCGACGGACAATATCGTAGAGCGAAGCAGCGACCCAGAAATACTGTTGCTTCAAGCGGAGCTCCTTTCCACGATCAAGGTTATCGTTGGGGTACAAGACAGCGCTGATAGTCTCTGCACGCTGTTGGTCCGCCACGGAGCTCTCGTAGTCACCGCTGTTGAACTTCTGGAAATCGAACTCTCCGCTGGCGGCTTTGCTAGACCAGAGACGGAGGTTGTTCGTCGTTGGGGTCTCGTAACCGGGAATGGGCACGTCGTAGGCAACGGCCTTGACGATCTCGCCACCTTCCCACGAGACCTTGTTTAGGCCTTCCTCATCCTGGTACTTTCTGACATTCCCGTAGAATTGAATCTGCGAGTCGTTAGTCCGGTCACGCATCAATCGGGACGGGGAGCTTACGTCTACGACGATATCATGTCTAGGGAACTCCCAAGGGTTGAAGTCGAGCCAGTAGTCAGGGACTTCAACCTGGTACCCATCCACAATCTCTTGCTTGAAGATACCGTATCTGTATCTCAGCCCATATCCCCAGGCTGGGAAGTTGAGGGATGCCATGGAGTCAAGGAAGCAGGCGGCAAGTCTTCCCAGACCACCATTTCCCAGGGCAGCATCGTGTTCTTGGGCAATGATATCTTCGATGCGGAAGCCCAGGTCCGAGAGGCCCTCTGTGCGAAAGTCAGTAGAGATAGTGATGATGTCGGGTGACATGGATATGTGCGTACCTTTCGCGATGTCCTTGAGCCCAACGTTCAGCATGGCATTGTCCAAAGCCCTGCCCATCAAAAACTCCAAGCTGAGATAGTAGATCCTCTTGCTATCGGCAAAAGTCTGTCTCTGCTGTGTGCGGTTCCATTCCGTGATGAGCCGATCTCTGAAGGCCATACTAGCAGCGGCATAGGCTGCCGTCTCATCGCAGTTGAACATGCTCCGAGCAAGCGTTGTCTCGACATGTCTTACGACTTCCTTCTCAAAATCCTCCTTGGTCTTGAAGCCGTGGGGTGCGAACTTCTTCCAGGCTGCACGCTGGGGTTCCGGGATGGAAGCTGGAGTTACACCAAAACGTCAGTACTACGAACGAGTACGCAAGGCAAGAAAGTAGACGTGGGATGGCCACTCACCCTCGACATTCTTGATCTCTCCAGCTCCAAAGCCGGTGAAGGTTCTCTTGTGTTTGGGTCGAGAGAAGCCCGGGCCAACTGGGCCTTGCAGCTCAGAGATCGGAGCACTGGTCGAGGGACGACGCTCTCGCATGCCAGGGAATGAGCTCGCCATCTTGCACAGCGAGAGATGTGGTGTTGCTGTTGTAGGAGGAGGAGGTAGGTGTATGTGCAGTTTATTATATGAAGTTATGTTTTTCGGGGGATAAATATAGCGAGAGAAAAGAATTGGAGGGGTGAGGTTGAGGGTGAAGGTTGAAGGTTGAAGGTTGAAGGTTGGGGCCGAGAAAGCCGAATTGCCCAGACTCGAGCTCTCGAGTCTAAGAGTTGGCTCTAGAGTTGGCACATGAGCTAGCTGGGTAGTTGCAGCAGCGGAATATTTTGGTTGATCAGTCGGGTTCGGGTTCGGGTGCGGGTGCGGGTGCGGGTGCAGGTGCAGGTGCGGGTGCGGGAGGCGGGGCGGTGCGGGGTCGACACAGCTGTGCAGTAGTAGGGTGGGGGGAGGGGGAGGGGAAGGGGAAGGAGTAAGTAATAAAGTACGTCAGGTACGTCAGGTACGTAAGGCAGTGATGGAGAGCCAGCCGACTGCCGGACGAGCTTGTCAATGGACGAGACGGAGAGGCGTGCGTATGCCAAGAAGAGGTAACGATGGGGGTTGAGGATATGGTGGGTTGGGATGATGATGGATGGGAGTGTGTAGTAGAATGTAAATATATATAAAGATATGTATATATACCTACCTACCTAGGTATATATAGGGAGAAAGCGGAGCGAGAGCAGATGGGTATAGGAGGAAACAACAAGGACAAAATATCAGAGGGAAGGAGGCACAGAGAGAGCGAGAGAGCGAGAGAGCGAGAGAGAGAGAGAGAGAGAGAGAGAGAAGAGAGGAGAGAAGGAGAGAGAAGGAGAATAAGAGAAATAGAGAAATAGAGAACATGAGACAGCTCTTGCCTGTCTCTTTCCCTTTACTACCCCCCCCATATGACAAACTCCGGCCTCCTCGACTGACAGTCAAACATCTGCATACCGGTAGTGAGTGAGCGGTCGGCTGCGCATCACGCCAAACGGGTCGAAAGTATATATAAAGTACACGCTTCATCCAGCTGCCCTTTTATTTGCTCCACTCCGCGCCGAAGATGATGCCAGCCACCCCTTTCAGTACATAGATGCCGCCGTCAACCCTTCCCTCCCGCTTCCCGTACGTGATAAATGCAGATTCATAAGGCGCTTGAGCCAGCAGCCGTGCCCATCCAGCGACTCCTCCCCCAAGTGGGGCCCAAGAATCCCATTCGATCCAGTCCCAGTATCTCCATTACGATCGACCATAAACGAGCAGTTCCCTTCACACGCAGAGAAAGCAGCACTCTGGAGCCACGACTCGCTTGCCGCGTTGTCGGTGCACGGGCGTAACAACAAAAACTGAAATCGAAAAAAAAAAAAAACCAACAGAACAAAAAAGAAAAAAAAAAAAAAAAAACAAAGAGGCAGAAAAAAAAAAAAGGCTACGTGTGGGGGTGAATAACTGGGCGCGCGATCGGGCCCATGTTGAAGCCCAGAACATGATGCAATAAGATCCATCCCAGAACAATCACGGCTATGGTGAGACAGCCACTCCAAGAACTCCGGCAAAATTTCCAATCCAACGCCTGCGCCAAAATAACAGGTGGGAGTATTTCAAAATGACAAGACAGAACCTGGGGCATGATGCTTCATGATAGTATTAGGAAGAGCTCAGAGGATACCCGAGTCTTTTAGCGCGTTCTGCAGAATCGTCTCTTTCACTGCCGCAAAGACGAGCCGGATGTTCGAGGTATCGGTTGCTTGCGTGAGACTAGGGTGATCAGCTGAAGTTCTCAATTGGTTAAGGGGGCATGGCTTACTGCGGGTATAGATTCAAATGAGCTCGGTTCACTTGGTTGAACCGCCAGAGCAGATACTTGGAGGCACGGTTGATGTCGTTGCCGCCCGAGTAGTCTGGAAAATAGTTGCTCAGAGGCGACCGCCCCAGCTTGGTTCGGAACAGATCCACCTTGTTGAGGAAGAGAATGATACTCGTCCGCATGAACCACCGCGAGTTCACGACCGAGTCAAAAAGGACCAGACTTTCCATCATGCGGTTCTAGGAGCTGTTAGGACCAGGCGAGATGATTGGAGAGACGGTACTGACTTGGTTACTCTCCTCGAGCAGGACTTGATCGTACTCGCTCAGAGCGACGCAGAAAATGATCGATGTGACATTTTCAAAGCAATGAATCCATTTCTTCCTCTCACTCCGTTGCCCTCCCACATCAAACATGCTGATAGCTCGTTAGCCGAGCCCCGGTGCAGTGAACATGGCCCAACTCACTGTATACTCAAGGAGCCCATTGTAAATCTCGTCTCATAGATACCCGTCGTCTTCGTTCTTGCTCGTAGCACATCAGCCTCTACGGGAATGTAGTTCGGCGCCGAGATCCTATTGGCCTCCTCAAAGAAACTGGAAATCGGTCAGCACTGGACTTTCCCAAGTAGGCTGATCCAAACCTACTACGGGGCGGAATCCATCAAGTAGAATTCGCTTTGCCTCTCCAGCAGGGTGTCTATGCTTGCGTCCTTCCACAGGGATGACACGGCTATCCCAACATTTGCGTTGAGAGGGGTATGCGGATCCGGGTCGACGTGATAATCCAACAAGTAGTCGCTGTAATCGAAGTTGAGCGGAGTCGTCGGTTCAATCCCAAACTGCCGCATTGCGCCGATCAGAGCTTTCGCACAATCGATGAGGTTCTTGTATATGGTCAGGCGATAGAGGGCCAATTCGTCCACGGTGTATCCATTCTGGTGGATGATCTTCATCTGCTTCACAATGGTCGACTTCCCACTCTCTCCGGACCCTTCGCCAGTGTCAGCATCTCCCGCTCAATGGTTTTCGGTCTGCGCGTGGCGTACCCAAGAGTAGAATCTTGCATTCTCGGCGGAGTCGTCTCGAGTCCTCCTCCAACTTCTTGTCAATCATCTGACTCCGCTTCTTCTGCTCCGACTCGTCGACATCTGTGCTCATGCAAGCACCCATCTTCCTGGTGCTCGGGCGGCCGGCGCAGCCTAGGTTTCGTTGTACGGGTAAGTATCACCTACCGGAGAACCGGGCGACGTCGAAAGACGCTGCTGGGATTCGGGGCCGAATGGAAGGGTTGAGCCGAGAGTTGAATGTCGATTGGCCCGCGTGGGACAACGTGTGGCGGGTTCGTTTCCGTCGGGAGCGATGGAGCAGCTGCCTGTTGAGAATGGCCATCCAGCTTCGAAGAGACCGAGGGATGCGCAGCGGGATGGATGGATGGGGGGGTGGAGGATGGAGGAGGGCGGCGGGAGGAGGGTGGAGGGTGGACGAAGGATGGATTAATCGATTAATCAATTAATTAGCGTAGGTGGGGGGTCGTCTCGTTGCGTGCAACACAACGTTTGGGGGGGGGGGGGGGAGAGGGGGGGGA